AAAAAAGAATGTAATTGATTTTATGCAATTACATTATTCATTACATCGACGACCAGAATTACCACAAATTCCTAAATTTCCTACTGGGATAATAAGATGGTTCAGATCAACATATCATAGAATGAATCGTCATCAAGGCAGAACCCAGACAGCAGCTCTTGAAAGACGTAAAGAATTGGAAAATTATCTTGTTGTGTTAATTAAATCATTGAATATGCATGTCTCATATGAGTTGAATGAATTCCTTGAACTCAGTGCCATATCTATCACAAGAGATATGGGCTGGAAGGGTAAAGAAGGTTATTTGTCCAATAAAGTTGAAAAATTTCATAGACACCTTTGTTCTTTTAAAAATTCTAATGATAGATGGGAATGGGAATGGGTAATAGTTCGTGATTCGTATCCTTTCTTATTTGTTTCTTTTTATTATATTTTTTTCTTGAAAATGACTTGAAATTATTCTTAATTTTGCAAAATAATGATAATAATAATAGTTATATAGCTTTTTGTACAAATATAAGCTCTACAACACCAGCAGATGTTTTTTTATTAGATCCACATTTCAAATATGAAAAATCTACCAATCGCCCTTTGCAATTTCATGAACATGTCAACATTGAAAATAGTTCTCGAAAAATTCAACTTAAAGGTGACTCTCGTACATTGAAAGAATTCACTGATAGTATCAATTTGGTCAAAAGGTCTTCTCCTTGGGTAAACCAACATCGTTTTGGTTCTTATGCTCCTATAAGAGAAAATGCCAAAGTAAAATTTTATATTGATGGTAAAGATTATTTTTATGCTGTTTCACAAGCTATAACGGCAGCAACGTCAGAAATTTATATTGAAGATTGGTGGTTATCTCCTGAATTGGTAAAGAAATTTCAGTTTAATTATACTTGACAAAAACATAGAACTTATTTTTATTTTTTCCAAAATTAGTATCTTCGTCGTCCTCCAAAAGACAATCAAGAGTATCGACTTGATCGTTTACTTCAAAAAAAAGCAGAAGAGGGTGTTATGATATATATTGTAGTATATAAAGAAGTCAAATATGCTTTGAGTATGGATTCACGCCATACAAAGATATCTCTCCAACAGCTTCATCGAAATATAATAGGTTT